ATTGACGTATCGAAATAATTCTTTCACGTGTATTTTTTATTTTTAACAGAGAATACAGAAAGCTAAAAAACAAAATTAGTGAACATTCTTCATTGAACAGCAAGGTTGTTTTATTACTAACTAGCGGCCGCCCGCGACTTCGTACGCGTGGACCCCGTTTTACCCCCTTAGGGGTTGAATTTTGCAAAATCCCGTCTTAGTGAGCACCTACGTTCTAAAAGGAACCCCCATGTAAAATTTGAGACTCCTAGCACTTGTAGTTTCTGAGATTTCGTGATGAGTGAGTGAGTCAGTCAGTCAGTCAGTGACCGTTCGCTTTTATAATATGTGAAGGGGAGTTACGCAAAAACTACTGAACGGATTTTGATAAAACTTAACAGTAACATTATTAATACATGAACATTATATGTATAGGCTATAATTTTGAATGATTTTGAGTATAAATTTGGATTAAGAAAGTATTTCTGTGACAAGCTGAATTTCAAGTGAAGTCCCGGGCAAAACCTAGCTTATAAATTGAGACATATCCAAGTGTTACTTACAAACAGAACATTAATTGATGCACTTACATAAGCGCATAGCAGTTTATTATGAAATATCTCGCGCCAAATACGTGGCCCTCCAAGCGTTGCGATTGAAAAAAACGATGATTATTTCGCTGCACTCGCTTGTTTTTAATGCACCATAATAGGTGTTGTTGATGGCTTTTTTATAGAATTATTGTCTTGATTGGATGTTAGGAAATATACTTATTTAATGTACCTAGCCGCCTCTGTGGTCTAGTGGTAAGATCACCTGCTTCAGACGCAGAGGTCCCGGGTTCGATTCCCAATTGGGGCAGATTTTTCTGTTCGGTTTGGTTGGTGGTAGGGCTTTTTCTAAGTCAGCCTGGCTAGCTACAAACATCTTACCTAAGTTTGTCGCCATAACAACAATGTTAACAGCATTGTTGTGTTCCGGCAGTTAGAGGTATGATAGCCAGTTCCTCCGTGGTTAAGGATTCCGGGTGAAGCTCGCTTCCACCTTCGGCCTGATCATCACTTACCATCAGGTGAGATACAGCCAAGAGCTTCTTCGTTGTTGATAAAAAAAACCGCGACTTCGTACGTGTGAAAATAGTTTGAATAATATTTCCAATTTATGCAACATTTTCTTTACTGTTACTGGTTGGGTTATTGGCGGTCAAGCTGTAGATCTTGGCTACACAGGACTTGCAGCGGTGGGAACGAGAGGTGGGAATAGCCCCGTTTAACTGTCAGTTCAGTAATTTCAGAAATATTTCAGTCACACTGGTGGTAGGAAACTCATCATCACCAGGTTTAGTCTCCACTGCAGGAGCCTGGCCCTCTAATTGACCAGAGGCAAATGGATTTGTCCTACACTCCCCACGCTGGCCAGACGAGTTGGGGAGCCCTGATGTTCGCATATTTGTCCCTTAGTCGCTTACGACATCCACGGGAAGAGTGCGGGTGGACCTCATCAACAGCCCTTTACAGTCCACTGCTGGACTATGAGCCTCCTCCACTATAATGGAGGGTTTTGCCATAATCCCCACGCTTGGCAGGCAGGTTGGAGATCGCAGTTTAAAAGATTGTTGTTTTTCAGAGAGCGCTGCTGCCCGTTCTCTGTTTGATGTGTTAGTCCCTAAGTCGCATCTTACGACACCCGTAGGAAGAGTAGGGGTTGGTGACAAATATATTCTACTCTGCCATCACCACACGGCGGACCTATTCTACTCTTTTACTCATAAAACTAATTTATTTTTGCAAATGGGCTTTTAGAAAGCACTTTTACACGTCCCAGTATTAACCCTACCACTGGTTCGGGACAATAAACGGGCCAGTGCTGAGAAGAAGCAGCGCAAGAAACTCAAACTTATGTAGTAGAATGAGGCATCTTTGCCCCCTTTTAGGTTTCTTTGTAATCCGTTTAGTGTACCATTGAATTTTATGCAACTCTCACACAATGGTCGATAACCGAAACCACCGCGTTGCGGCTGTATAGTCAACCGCAATATTGGTTAGGAAATTTTCTTAAACCACGTGGTCTAGTAGTAAGACCACCTGTCATAGACTGAGGTCTTGGGTTTGATTTTCAGTGAGAGCAAAATTATTGAGATGTGGTCCGCACCTGTCTTACGCCCGTATTCACAAACATTACTATGAAGTCTCACAGTGCGCTTGAACGAACAGGGTGACTCTCGAACCAATCACAGAGCTCTATTCAACCCTGTGCGTTCGATTTGCTGCTTCGCTTAAGCAAGTGTCGTTTGTGAATACGGGCGTTAGACTCAAGAGGTAAGGTTCCGGGTACGATTCCCAGTTAGGGCGAAATATTTGAGTTTTGGTTGGTGATGGGGATTGTATAAGTTCTTAAGTTGTATCCGACTAGCTACCAGTACCACCAAGTTACCTAAGTCACAGCAACAATGCTGTTAGCACTGTTTAGGCAGGTGGAGGTAAGATAGCCAGTTCTTCTGTGCTCACGAGTGTCTATTTCGAGTTTCAGAAGTGAAATTTATACTTGAAATTAGTGTAGGCGCACACTAGGCGACACGCGACAGCAACTACTAGGCGCCTATTCTAGACAATTTCATATAAATAGCTTGTCGTTGCAACTCCACGACTCTGACGCCAAGTGTGCGAAGCTTTGAACAAAATATGAAATTGTTGGCCTCAGCCTGTCGTCACGTCTAAGTCGCCGAGCTGACGCTGTCGCGTGTCATGACAGCTAGTTTATTACACGATTATTTAGACGCCGAGTGTACCAACCAACAAGTAGGTGAGGTGCATAAAATTCGCAACGATGCGCTGTCGCATGCTTCGCGGTTCCTTTCGCAACTTTATCGCTATGAATATTGTAATGGCCCATAATGAGGACTTGTTTACTCTCTATTGGGCACAACATGTTGGAAATATTCATTTAAGTTCTTTATTAAAGGTCTGGCGCGTAACTGAGAGAGTGCACAGAGTGCCTGAGGTATGAGAGCGGCACGGAAGGACATATAATGACGTGACAAATCGCAGATCAAATCTGACGTCTCGCTGACGTTTGACGTTACTAAAGCCCGGTCCGTGAGCACGTAGAATTTTGTCCAATGACCCCTAGCTACCCATCCTTATCGCTCGCACGTAATGATATTGCTGTCGCGACTGTGCGACTGGCACCCGCAGTGAGTGTGCGAGCGCGATAGCAACATAATTACGCGCGAGCGATAAGGATGGGTAGCTAGGGGTCATTGGACAAAATTCTACGTGCTCACGGACCAGACTATAGAACACCCTCTCGTGACGCTCTCATACGTCAGTGACTGACTCAGGTAAGCGCTAGCAGTAGGCCTTTTTTCAAAAAAGGTTTATTTTGTGTGCTATCGCTAAACGTCATAAATTATGAATCGGTTTTAAAAAATATTTTATCATTATTGTTTCATAGTTTAAAAAAAATACCGGAAAATATGTCATCCAGGTAAACGAAATTACTGGTTTTGGTCAATAGAATTAGCCTCAAAGAAACTCTCAACCTTCATAAGTAACCAGGTCAAAATAAATTAAAAAAAACTGACGGCAAAAGGGCACAAAAGGTGGAAAAAAAATCTTAAAAATGTAACAACCTAAGGACAAATAATCATGATTAGGTCATTTTAGTCAATTTTTTTAAAATAATTATTAGGTACTTTAATGATTCCCAAACTAAAAGGGTAACCCTTTTGTTAATTTGTTTCTTCCTGTTGAAACCCAGTCGCCACTTACGTCATTTAAGCACTAACATAACACCAGTTTTCTAGTCATCTGGACACACCGGTATGTCTAAATACGGGTTGTATTGCATTATGTTATGTAATTGTATGTATAAGAGTTGTTGGAAACTCGATAAGCTGTTTGGAATATTTGTGTCATAGTGAGGATTAAACTTTAAAATCCAGAAGCATGTGACTGTCCGAAATATCTAAATATGTATAAAAGGAGAAACTGACTCACTGACATATCAACGCACAGCCTAAACGGCTAAACGTAGGCACTTGAAATTTGGAAGGGACGTAGCTTAGGTACCGTAGAGGTGCACTAAGAAAGGAATCCCCGAAATTCCCACGGGAACGGGAATTAGCGGGAAAAACATTTGTATGAAAAAATCTAAACCGCGTAAGATAGATGTCTAACTGTATTATTTTTCAAATTATTCACTTTCAAGTTTTTATGAAAAAAAAAGGTATGTTTTGTATTTTTTAAAGAAAAACAGTGACAGCACTGCTATGACAGCAATACTACTCGGGTTGCCAAATACAGGGTGGGCAAAAAAAATTGATGACGCGTGATTTCCCGAAAACGGTTCGAAGTAGGGTCGCGTGAGTGGTTAATAAAAAAATAACGATATTCATGAAGTGCTCCATTGTGACTAAAAATTCATGAAATTATGCACAGTTTCCTCTCGCCCACGCGTCCCTATCTCGAAGTTCTCGAACCGTTTTCCAGAAATCAAAGGTTGCTATTTGAAAACAATTAGGCCTACATTGTTTTTACCTCTGGTGAATTAGAAAGTCGTGCACCTGCAGTGGGAATGACCTGAATGATGGTGACGAAGAAGGGATAAATATGCGAACATAATGCCTCTCCAACCCGTCTGGCCAGCGTGGGGAGTGTAGGCCAAATCCTCTGGTAAATTAGAGAGTGACCGACATAGCCCGCAGAATTACTAAAATCAAGAGGCAAGTGGGCAGGACACAGGTTGTAGAGCTGATGGTTGCTGCCAGAAAAGTGCTCGTGTGGCTACCACGGGCTGGAAGACGTAGTGTGGGCAGGCTCCCCACTAGGTGGGCCGATGATCTGGTGAAGGTCGCGGGAGGTGCCTAGATGCGGGCAGCGCAGGACCGATCGTTGTGGAAATCCTTAGGGGAGGCCTTTGTCCAGCAGTGGACGTCATTTGGCTGAAATGACGTCCACTGCTGGACAAATGCCTCCCCTAAGGAGACTGAATGACCTAATGATGATATTGTTCTGTTCCAGGACCACCAGGGGTGCAGTTCGAGGATTCCCTGCTTCAGATACTGCCAGTGGACAAGACTAAATGCCCGTTTGTTAGAGACAACAACGATGTTGAGTTTAGATTATTTACTAGGTAAGTTTTGGCACTTTTTCTGTTTTGTTTGAGGCCGTCGAAAATTCGATTCTTGTTTGCTTTTTGAGATGAGTTTTCGTTAAAACAAAATGGCAATTAAATACTTGACACCACGGTCTGTAATTTCTTGTGTGTGTTAGAATAATAGGTTATGGTTTCCACCAAAGCCGGGAGGAGAGATGTGTTTGAATAACCAATCAGCAGGCCTATTACGACCTCTTAATTCCAGCCAGTGTACGCCTTAAACTAAACTGCCTTGCCTTGTCATATGGCCAGGCAGCGGTCACGTGACACTTGACTGACTTCTGACTGGAAATTGGCTGGAATTTTCGTATTACGACGGTCAATTTGACGTTTGTAGCCTTGATTAGTTGTCAAAATTCGTTTCAATTAGCCATTCAGTTATGGTCGTCTTTGATCAACTTTTTGTGACTTGTTTTGATATAGTTTTCTGTTTTATACTAATTTTGCAGATTTTTATGTTATAACATGACTCAAAAACGAATAATAGGGTAATAATATAAACATGTATGACGAGTTAGTAATTTTCTAAATTCTTGAAAATGATGCTAATCTTTGAAGGCAACTTGAGACCTCTGATATTGACGAAATGCACCTAATAAAACGTTATAGTAAAGGTTTAGTAAGTAAACAATTAGTTCACGATTGGTGCGAAAAATTGAGACCCAGATTCAGGTTTTTCGACAACACCTGACCGCTTAGCTTTGGTCCGGACATCTAATTGGTTATTTAGACAACCCACCTCCGGGTTTGTCACAGATCGTCCCATTTTCATTCCGTCCCATTTTGGAACTACTGGTTCGATTTGAAAAATTATTTCAGTGTTAGATAGCCCATTTATCGAGGAAGGCTATAGGCTATACAACATCACACTACGATAAATAGGAGCAGAGCAATAATGAAAAATGTTGCGAAAACGGGTTTTCACGCGTACGAAGTCGCGGGCACAGCTATTTCTTATAAAAGACCTTCAAACAGGCATTTGTATGTTTCAGACACAACCCAACAGTGTACCAAGAGCTACGTATAGACGACGACGAGAGCCTGTTCGCTTCTCACTTCAACTTCCACGACCCGACGGTGGTGTACTTCGGAGCCTTTTTGGAGCAGCCCGATGATGGGAGCGGACTGCTGGTTAGAGAATGTGAGTAATAGCAGGCCTGTTCGTTCATCTCCCCGAGCTTACATCGAAAACAAAACATGCACGATGGCACCCTACAGGATTACTATTCGACAAGGCCTCACATACGAGCGAACATTGACTCGCGCACGCGTATTCTTGTGTATGATGGAAGAAAATAAAGAAAATGGGGTACTAAATACTGTGCAGTATTTAACTGCCTAAATAATAATAAAAACACAGAATGTACTTTTTTAAGTTGCCTCAATACACTGAGAGGTAATAAGTAGTTAATATTATTCGTGATAATTCATGCTAAATCATGTATTTCCTCCGCCATTTTCCGCAGTTTGGCACCTCACGTCACATCATTTTACCGAAGTCAGCCCTATAGCTTCGGCGCAGTACCGATCACTGACGTTTGTCAACAAAATGGTGCTTGACTCTTGAGACCAGCTAAATTACACCATATTGTTAATGACATTGAGCTAGGGATTGCAATCCAGCGGCGTTTTCAATCCAGCTGGATTCTTGCTGGATTGACCTGAATCCAGCTGGATCCAGCGCGGATCCAGCAAAAACTGGAACGAAAATAAAATGACGACATTTTGAAGTCTTTTTTAAAATTAAGTAACTAGATTTCCTCCCACGGCTTCGCCTGCGTGAAAAAAGGGCTGTGTTTAGGGTTTTCTTGGAAATTATTCGAATTTTTCTCGCCGTAAAAATCATCCTTGGACTTCAACGAACATTAAAAAAAAAGGTCTAGACGTTGTTGAATTATACGCTTACCAACACATTTTGCGATACATTTTTGTATTATAGATTTGTACTTCTTACGATAATCTATGAAATACGGCTCAGTAATTAATAATCAGGAGGAAACAGTCTTACAAATTATTTTACAATTAACTACGAAAAGGACCGTAATTTAATCTGCAATCTATTTTTTGTATCAATAGAAGTTACAAATCAGAAAATAATAATCTACTGCGAAAATTAGGCAGTTTATAATCTGACAACAGGAGACTGACCATTTCTTTTTCAATCCTCTGGAAGAAAGACAAATTTTATCTATAGTCTAACCTCCCAACCGCACAGAACTGCATGATTATGTAGCCGGCTGCTGAGAATGCCCTTTGGCCTCTACACTGGTCGGTTTAGGGTCATTAAATATTCATACACCATAGATGAATGTTCATCTCGCACTCCTTCGTAATCTAATTGACCACTTGGCTTTGGCTTCTGTTTATTATAGTTCTCCTTCTCTCTTTTAAGTTCCATCTCAAGCTCTTGCTCTAAAGTCATTTTCACAGGTTCTGCGTCATCATTTAGTTAGACCATTCTCTTCTAACTCCATGATATCTTCATTTTCTTGCAATGGCTCTACAATATTTTGTTTATTTACTCGTTTTAACAAAGTTTTCATCTCCTGCCGCATCGCATTCTTTTTTGGCAAAGGAAAATAGACAGATTTTTTTACTGCTTTTTCATACTTTTTTTGATTTATCAAGCACACAAACCTTCCAGTAACATCAGAGAGGCGCCGTTCAACGCACACAACAACAGAACGGCAACGTCACTGCGCTGTTTTGGAAATGGCGGCAATTAGAAACTAAGCAACAGAAATTTATACGTTTGCGGATCCGCATCGCTGGATCCAGCACTGTTGCTGGATCCAGCATGTTTAAAAAGGCGCTGGATCCAGCTGGATTGCTGGATGCTGGATCCAGCAATTGCAATCCCTACATTGAGCATACATTTTTTTAAATACCTTCGCGAAGTAAAACTTCTGTACGTAGTACTTATTATTATTCTGTGGTAATAGACTGAAATAGATGTTTAGAGATTAAAGAAAGAGAAAAAGAATCAAATCATGATAACACTGACCAAATAAACCCTTGAAAAAGAGGCTGTATTTCTTGCGCTGCTACTACTTTGGTGCCTTTTTGGAGCAGCCCGACGATGGGACCGGACTGCTGGTTACAGAATGTAAGTTATAAAATGAAATAAGAAGGAAATAGGCTAGTTTCCTTAAAATAATACATTTCGTCCGTTAATTATTTTATCAAAAAATATTTATTTGTTAATAAAATATATGCGTTTAGGTTCCGTTTGACGTCACTCCGTGTTACACCTTACCGTTAATTTGATAAGGCGAAAAATATGTGGCGGGTGTTTTTTAACAACTAATCGGATTTCGATATTTCCACATGACCTCTCCGCTCCGCTTCGGCTTGAAAATCTGATCATCATCATCATCATCATCATTTCAGCCATAGGATGTCCACTGCTGAACATAGGCCTCCCCCAATGCTTTCCATGTTGATTGATTAGTAGCGGTCTGCGTCCAGCGCCTCTCTGCCACCTTTATGAATTCGTCGGTCTGATAGGTTATCCAAAACGCCTCTTCGCTTTGGTAGAAACCTAAGACAGTCGAGCCTAATGGGACAGTCATATTTCAGCGAAGATAACTCGATCTTGTTGTACAAGCGCCCTAGAAAGGGCCTTGGTACTGAATAAACGATTTGATTGGACATGGACTAAATACATTCCCATTCCCAACAGCCTACATGCTTCGTGGAGACAGCAACTTCATAATCCTGGACCTGAGCCGGCTGGAGGCCGGGCCGTGGTACTTCACGGCGGCGGAGAATACTTGGTACATCGGACAATTCGCCGCCAAGTTTGTGGACTACATGGTATCCAGGTAAGCTCACTTCAATCACTTCTGGACAAATGCCTTACTCAAGGATTTTTACAAACAGCGGTTCAGCGCTGCCCTCATCCAGGCAAATCCTGCGACCTTCACTGAGCAGTCTCCAGGTAAGCGAGAGTTTTTATCCACATCAGGAAAACCCTTGGTCTGCATCTCACTTCGGTAACTCTTGACCTGCATCTCACTTGATGGAAAGTGATGATCAGGACGAAGGTGGAAGCGAGCTTCACCCGAAATCTTTGATCACAGAGGAACTGACTTTTGTAACTTCAAAGGTCAGCGAGACTTCAGATGTGCTTCAGCCATCTGTCCAGCCTTTTTATTTTAGCCAATGACAGTTCACAGCTGAATCTGCTGATCTAAAGTATGAGACTTTAGTTCAACAGTTGTTCGACAATAGGTGCCCTTCATCGTTCCAACTAGTAGTTCAACACTGGATGTTATTATTTGGAAACGTAAGCCTAGCCGCAGACCACCGATTTTTAGTCGGCCAATAGTTGGGCCCGATTCTAGAATAGAATAGAATAGAAAACTTTTTATTTGCAAGAAAGGTGTACAAGCAGGCAAGACAGATACAAACAGAGAGAAATATACAAGTGGACAATTAAGGCGGTTATTATTACACTGCGCCGCGCTCCGCCGCGGTACGCGGGACGACAGATTTAATCATTGTATGCAAGTACCTCAGTTTGTATAGAAAACACGCGCGGCACTTCACACTGAAGTGACAACGCGTCTGCGCGCGGGATTTTTTATATGAAATCACGCGCTCCACGGCGGAGCGCGGCGCAGTGTGATAACCGCCTAACTGCTTGTGCCCCTCTGACAAAAAGGCACCGCCAGAGCTTGTCTTGATTCTAATTTGTATGAAGAAACAATTGGTTTAATGTGCGCACTTTCATACATGCGCATACTGATTACTTAACTGTCCGACTAAACTATCAGCCGACTAAAAGTCGGTGGTCTAATGGTGTTTTCTGTCCAAGCGACAGCATATCAGCACATTTTCTTTCGTTGTAAGCTTTTTCTGATAGTCGCACATAATCTACATATTGCAGCACAGTTAACTGATAGTAGCACAGAACACAGTGAGACTAAATCAGACTATTTAATATAATTTCAGGGGCCTGGATTTAAACAAGACGCACTTCATCGGGCACAGTCTGGGAGCTCAGTCCGCCGGTGTGGCTGGTTCCGCCTTGAAGTCGGGTAGGTTTTGAAATAAATCCTTAGACATTGGGTATTTTATACTAACCTAGCTAGTTCCAATCTAAGCAGAGCTTGTACTATGGGCACCAGCCAGACAAGTATTTTGATTATAATATATTATGTTTTAAGATAAGATAAGATAAATTTATTGAATAAAAACTTAGCCTAAATACAAGAAATTTAAATGGGACTATGAAATTATTTGGTTAGTAACAATATGTTAATTAGGGTAGGTAAGGTTGTGCATACATATGGCTTGCCCTACCACTACTTAGGGACAACATATGGGCTGAGAAGATGACCTACATATTGCAGCACAGTTCACTGATAGTAGCACAGAATGTACATAATATTGCAGCACAGTTCACTTATAGTCGCACAGAATATACATTTGAAGCCACGATAGTCGAACAGTGAAGGGGTCGGACTGGCCGACTCGTGATCCGGGGAACTCGGGTTCGGTCCCCGCCGCCGCTCGACTATTGTGATGAGTTCACTCGTAATACAAGCATATTTGGCTTAGTACTACTAGTAGCTACTTAAAAAAAATAAAAAATTGTAGCACAGTTCACTGAGTAAAGCTGTGCTACAATATGTAGGTTCTGTGCTACTTACAGAACCTACATATTGAAGCAAAGTTCACTCATAGTAGCACATAAAGCTACATATTGTAGCACAGTTCTCTGATAGTAGCACAGGACCTACATACTGTAGCACAGTTCATTGATAGAAGCACAGAACTACATATTGTAGCACAGTTCTGCTTCTGCAGTGATAGTGACTGAATAGTAATAGTGACTGAGTTTCTTGCGCTGCTTCTTCTCAGCACTGGCCCATTTACTGTCCCGAAGCAGTGGTAGGGTTAATACTGGGACGTGTAAAAGTGCTTTTTAATGGCCTGTTTGCAAAAATAAATAAGTTGTATGAGTTTTTTATGAGTTTTTAGTGGAGACTGAATGACCTGATGATGTTCACAGGCCGCGTCTCCAGGATCACCGGTCTGGATCCGGCGCTGCCGCTGTTCGACAAGCTACCCCTCTCGCAGAGACTGGACCCATCTGACGCTAAATTCGTGGACGTGATACACACAGATGCCGGGATATTTGGTATGTATTTCAAGTTCTCCTTAGTGTTTTAATAATTATCGTGCAGATTTCATCAAGGACGCGGGATACGTGACAGTCGTGTCCTATTCATACAGTATTTATTGTCAAGTATTGTAAATTGTTACAATAAATACTTCTATAAAAGGTACACTTGCAGTCCGTACGATATTAAAACACCCATAAGTATAGAAGCGTTGATGTTTATCTATGGTATACTTTGTGCGCCATTTTTTGATTGTCATAATTTACTAATTATTAATTTGTTAAGATTTAACTGGGACGTTTGAAAGTGCCTTTAGAAGGCCAATTTCAAAAATAAGCACCTTTTATTACTATTTTATATTATTTGCAATCTATTCAGCAATAGACGTCCTGTGACTGATGATGATGATGTTTTTACAGGCTTCAAAACCCCAATTGGGCACGTGGACTTCTACCCCAACGGTGGGATTAGTCCTCAACCTGGGTGCGAGCTCGAAGTGGTGCTACACGAGCAAAGATTTCTCAACAAATGTGAGTATCATTATAATATGCTTAAACAAATTAAAAACTTTAAAAAAAATTACTCTTACTTCTTGGGTTACTTGATTATGCTGGTTTATTAATGATGTACTGATATTTTATAACTTCTTTAATAATTTCAGAAATGATATATTATAAATAATGAACTAACTTTGTTGTCGTTGTCTCTACTATAGGTCTAGCTAGCGCATAACTCAGTCAGTACCCGAGGTTATGAGAGCGGCATGGGAGGGGTGACATTATGATTATGACGTGACAGAGCATACAAATCCTAAGCAAATCTGACGTCTCGCTGACGTTTGACGTTACAAAAACACCCTCTCATGCCGCTCCCATACCTCAGGCACTGAAGGTCCTAATAATTCCTACTGATCGCCATCGCCATCGCGCACGCAGACTGCATGCGTTGGTTTTCCCAAACCTTGACTCATTTAAGTGCTAGCTAAAGCCTGGTCCGTGAGCACGTAGAATCCCGTCCAATGACCCCAAGCTGCCCATCCTTGTCGCTCGCACGTAATTATGTTGCTGTCGCGCTCGCACACTCACTGCGGGCGCGCGTCGCACAGTCGCGACAGCAATATAATTACGCGCGAGCGATAAGGATGGGTAGCTTGGGGTCATTGGACAGGATTCTACGTGCTCACGGACCAGCCTTTAGACCTATAATAATTTATACAATACATATTACTAAAAAATATTCTTTATAAAAAAAAGCTTCCTTTCCCCAACTAAAGTAACTAACTAATTCCCATCTAACCAGTTTTCTGCAGCCACTGGCGTTCATACCAGTTCTACAGCGAGTCTGTGATCCGGCCGAAGGCATTCGTGGCCACCGCGTGCGGATCGTGGAGGCAATACAAGCGCGGCCTGTGCGCTACACAGCACAGTATCCATATGGGATACGGAGTTGATAGAACGTGAGATGATTGTACTTTTAGTAGCACAGTTCACTGGTAGTAGCGCAGTACCGCACTTTTAGCACAGTGTAGTATCCATATGGGATACGGAGTTGATAGAACGTGAGACGATTGTACTTTTAGAAGCACAGTTCACTGGTAGCAGCACAGTATCGCACTTTTAGCACAGTGTAGTAATTGTACAATCGCGGCTTGTGCGCTGCACAGCACAGTATGCATATGGGATATGGAGTTGATAGATCGTGAGACGATTTTTGATGTAGCACAGTTCACTGATTTTAGTTCATAGCGTTAGCACAGTGGCACATAGCACAATAATAAGTGACCAGATTTTATACAAGCGCGGTCTGTGCGCTGCACAGAACAGTATCCATATGGGATACGGAGTTGATAGGATAGAACGTAAGATGTTTATGCATTTTGCAACTACATATTGTAGCACAGTACCGCACTTTCCTACACATTGTAGCACGGTTCCCTGATAGTAGCACAGATTCTAGATATTATAGCACAGTTCACTGATAGTAAGTTGCACAGTACCGCACTTTACTACATATTGTAGGACAGTACTGCTTAGCAAAATGATATACGAGTGGTATTTGTTGTAATTGCACAAGCGCGGCCTGTGCGCTGCACAGCACAGTATTCATATGGGATACGGAGTTGATAGAACGTGAGATGATTTTTGATGTAGCACAGAGCGTACATATTGCAGCACAGTTCACTGAAAGTAACACCATCATAAGTGAGTAGGAAAACCGTTTAATACAAGCGCGGGCTGTGCGCTGCATAGAACAATATCCATATGGGATACGGAGTTGATAGAACGTGAGATGTTTATGCATTTTGCAACTACACATTGTGGCACAGTATTGCACTTTCCTACATATTGTAGCACAGTTCTCTGATAGTAGCACAGTACCACCTTAGCACAATGTTACGACAAGTAAGAAGATTGCAGTAAATGTCATATACAATAACGTATTGCGCGACAGCACAGTATCCATATGGGAGTTGATCGAACGTAAGATAATTTTACATATTCGTGTAGAATCATGATTTAATAAAAGTATTTGAGTATATTTAGTATCGTGTTAGTTCCGTGGCGTAGAGACTTCCTACTTTAGGGCTTAACAATTTTTAATTAATAAACCTAAAATAACCACACACTAACACCACCCTAATGATATTGAACTTACAAAATAGATTTCAATGGCGTGGACTTGTTACAAAAAACCTTAGCATGTCTACAGTATTATTATTTTATCCAAATATTCACTTATTCCCACCATTTCGCACTATTTCAGGTGACAAAAACGCACAACCACAAGGTTTCTACGTCTACCATCTCACACCGAACACAAAAAAGAACATACTAGAAAAAAAACTGCGTGAATTCTTTACATACATCAACTTTCTGAAAGACACTGAAAACTCATCACCGCACACAGAATCTGATGATGAAATACCTAAATCATCGCCTAAATTGGCCGCAATTAGAAAATATAAACTTTTACAACAAAACAATAAGAAAAATAATAATAAAATAGTTGAGAGTAAAACAGAAATAAATCTAGATAATGCGCAAGAAGATACACATGTATTTGTGAAAGAAAATTCTTACAAAAGAGAGAAAAGAATTAGCAGTAATATTGAAGTAATTAACACAAATGATGCAACCAACAAAACTACTTTAAAAGACGCGATCACTACACCAAAAGACACAGACACTATAGAACAGAAGACTACAAAATCAGCAAAACTACAAGACACTACAGCAGATCAGAATACTACAAATACTGTTAAACTACAAGACAACACTATGGACCAGAATACTACAAAAACAGTAGAACTACAAGACAACACTACATTAGATCAGATGACTACCGAAACAGTAAAACTACAAAACACTACAGCAGACCAGAAAACTACAAAAACAGTAAAACTACCAAGGCAAAAGCGTTTTATATCTTTATTCAGAAACAACGATAACGACAGTGACAATTTACTATTCAGAATGCTAGAATTCTTAATGAAACCCAGAAGGAATTTCATACCAGTCGTAACTGTGATGAGAGAGATAAATACCCTAGTTAAAAGTGCGAATGGAGAATTGAACCACTTTTCTAAAGAAAGGAATAATTATATAGGTGGTTATCCACCGGTCTCTGATATAAAATACGACTTGGAATTAGGGAATGAGTCTAAAATTCTGGGATTGTTGAAAAGACTGCTAGGTTTGGGTCCTAAAGGCGGGAGACTGAGCGTTAATGGTAGAAAGTAAGGTATGGATATTTTTTGTTAAAAATTAGTATTTTTTTTAAAGAAAGAAAGTATTATTTGAGAGTCGGTTGCATTTTCATCATAGAACTATAGATCAAGCGCATAACTCAGTGTGTAGTACTCCTAGTGCCTGTGGTATAGGAGCCGCATGGGAGCATATAGACCCAATACACTGAACTGTCCCAACCGTGACATAGACAGGGGGGCGCCACCGTCAATACCATATCATCATCAACTCAGCCATAGGACGTCCACTGCTGAACATAGGCCTCCCCCAATGCTTTCCATGCTGCTCGGTTAGCGGCCTGCGTCCTGCTTTATGATGTCGTCGGTCCACCTTGTGGGTGGACGTCCCGGAAATACCAGATCGCTGGTTCCGATTTTTGCCATGTTGTGTTGGAATTTAGTTAAATGATGGTGAAGTCCCCCTGTCAATGAATTTGGTGGAATATTTCAATGTAGGTCATCTATACCAGTCTGAATCACATCAGTCTCAAGTTGCTGACATTTGACGTCACAAAAACACCCTCCCGTACCACTTCCATACCTCTGGCACAAACTCAGGTAAGCACTAAACCAATAAATATGGAATTTGAGTATGGAATTTAACATTTCATGTGTTTTTTCAGAGCTCGCGGCATTTTCTTCTTGATGACGCGCCGCCAGTCGCCATATTCGATAGAATAATTTTAATTCTTATTAAAAACGAAGTAAAAAATGCAAAGTACAGTCAACCGCACATCAAAGTACACATTATTGTTACAAAGGCACCCGTATTATAGATCGTTGCCACGAACACGCGCCCCACCAATGTTTGGTCCCGGTCGCGCGGGGTGCGGGGAGTGTGGTCCGAGCAATCCGTAAGGCATTACTGTAGTGTGCGTGTGCACTCATGGATGATTCAGCGTGTACCGATAACACTCAAACATTAGCGGAAGAATGGTGGGGTGCGTCTTTGTGGATGAAACGATCTATACAACTCCTAAGAGTAAATTCAACGTCATATAGTTCGTGACACGCAAAGCGAGCAAAAAGTTGACAACACAACCTTATTCCAATGAGGGCTATCGTTTTAGCGCTCATCAGTTGGCGCCACTGTAGAGTAAGGTCCTGTCACTTGCTAGTAGCGAAGACAGTGGCACCAACTGGTGAGCGCGAAAGTGGTAGGAGGACTATCGCATTTGCGCTCATCAAGATGGCACCACTGTAGAGTAAGGTCCTGTCAATCGCCAGGGGTGCCAACTGTTAAGTATAAAAACGATAGCCCTCATTGTAACGAAGACGTGTTGCGAACTTTTTGGCTACTTTGGGTGTCACGAACTATTTGAGGCTGACTGTACTAATTTTATTTTGATGCGCCATCGTCGTTACTTTGAAGCGATAAAATTATAACAAAAGTATAAAATAAATATAAATGAAAACTCAAACTGAATTTCAGAAGACATTGATTTTGAAAACAAATTGTATGAATGATTCTTATATTTCATTATTAATTGTATGTTTCTTTACTATAAATAAAATAGTTAAATAAAATTAGAACTCGTTTATTTAAGATTTAGTTTTGAATTGTAAGTTTTTGGTTACCATTTAGTTTAATTTTAGCCGTAATATATTTATATTTTTTAATATATTTTTGTTTTATTTCATGACAACACTTATTTGATTCGAATTAAAATAAAACTGAACAAATATCGATCTTTTTATCATAATAATGCAAGGATTTCAATCATATATTTTTTACATACGAGAACTTCAAAGTCAAACTTCTAGTATGATGCGGCGACTGCCTTGTACACGCGGCTGTCCTGTATAAGTGACGGCCCTGACAGCCCTCTAAATGACTGCCCTGTATAAGTGATCGCCCTGTAAGTGAGTGCCCTGTTGCCCTGTAAGCGACTGACCTGTACGCGCCTTGGAGCCATACGACGCACCAGCGGGCAACTGCCCTGTATTGTCTAAGTCACTGCCCTGTATTAAGTGACTCATGTCTAAGTCATGTACAAGTGACAGCCCTGTAAGTGACTGCCCTGTATAAGTGAGTGCCCTGTAAGTGTCTTCTCTGTATAAGTGAGTGCCCTGTAAGTGACTTAAGTGACTGCTATGTAAGTGACTGCCCTATAAGTGACTGCCCTATAAATGACTTAAGTGATTGCCCTGTAAGTGACTGACCATGTAAGTGACTGGCCTGTAAGTGACTGACCATGTAAGTGACTGGCCTGTAAGTGACTTAAGTGACTGTCCTGTAAATGACTTAAGTGGCTGCCCTGTAAATGTCTTCAGTGACTGACCTGTAAGTGATTTAAGTGACTGACCTGTAAGTGACTTAAGTGAGAGCACTGTAAGTGACTGACCTGTAAGTGACTTAAGTGAGTGCCCTGTAAGTGACTTAAGCGACTGACCTGTACATATGGTGCGGGTGCAGCAGCGAGCCCAGTACCAGCGAGTGCAGGTGCACCGGGCGTATGCAACGCGACAGCAAAGCGCCCTGGAGCCCTACGACGCACCAGCGCGCGACTTTGTCTGAACACGACATTGTTAGGAGGCGCTCGCCCTGGAAGAAACATAATAATTAACTATGTTTCTGCAGTTGAGTAAAAGGGAATATGCAAGGTTTTTTAATTTTTCATATTTTCAGTAGACTTGGCATGATTAAACATTCAAATTAAGATATGCAGGGTGTTAGGATGAGCGGACACTAGCCCATGTTGACATAAGCATATAAATGGTATGGTGAAGAAAGAAATTTGATATCACCATTTAAATTTTTTAAATTTCATACAAAATAAAATTTATAAAATCAGATTTGAATGAAAATTAATAATAATTAAAATGATGATATCAATTTTCTGACTTCACCATACCATTTATATGCATATGTTAACATGGGGTAGTGTCGGCTCATATACCCATTTACCTAACACCCTGTATAACCCAAAAGTGACTGACTGACATAGTGATCTATCAACGCACAGCTCAAACCACTGGACAGATCGGGCTGAAATTTGGCATGCAGGTAGATGTTATGACGTAGGCAACCGCTAAGAAAGGATTTTACGAAACACCACCCCTAAGGGGATAAAACGGGATCCACGCATACGAAGTCGCGGGCGGCCGCTAGTTTCTCATATTTTTAGCAGACTTGGCGTTACGAGTATCAAATCATTAAAGCCAAAATATAGACGCAATGGAGGGAAGTCGAACCTAAACTTCGAGCTCCCCCTATGTTCTTCTGATTAATTTCGTTGCGGGTCCAATGACAGTTTAACTTTCCCCCGGGACAAACTTGACCGTCACCAGGGTTATGGCGGTCAAGCAGTAGATCCTGGCTACACAGGAGTTGCAGCGGTGGGAACGAGCGGTAGGAATAGTCCCGACCTCATAAAGGTAGCAGGAAGGCGCTGGATGCAGGCCGCTATCAACCGATCTTTATGGAAATCATTGGTCGAGGCCTATGTTCAGCAGTGGACGTCCTGTTGCTGAAATAATGATGATGAAAATAAACAATATACCTGCATAACCCCGTCCCAAGTCTGTACCACATTGGTGCAGTTTTTGACCGGGATAGTGCCTTCCCCGGACTCGATCTTTGTCCTTAGCTGACCTCGGGCGAGCCTGCATTGAGAAAGGAGATATTTCAACATTACTTGTTATTTTGGAACTACGTTGTACTACTGTAGCACTATCACGCATTTTCTAGCTCTCAGAACATGCGTGAAGGTGCTACAGTGTACGTGAGAGTGGTACAGTGTACGTGAGAGCGCTACAATGTGCGTGAGAGTGCTAGAGTGTGCAAGAATGTCATGAAAGTACATATGAGACAGTGCCTTATAATATACCTGTTAGGATGTTCGTGAGGGCTGAACATTCTTCTTAAACTGCTACAGTGAGAGTGAGAGTGCTACAGTGTACGTGAAAGCGCTACACAGTGAGTAAGAATGTTACAGTGTACGTGAGAGTGTTACAGTGTACGTGAGAGTGCTACAGTGTGAGATATTGCTACAGTGTGCGTTAAAATGCTAGTAGGTGCATGACTGCATTTGAGATTGCGACAGTATGCTATCGACCTGTTAGGATGCCTATCTGGCTCCGGCTGCGATTGTTTATGAAGACTGAAGATCGTTCTTGAAGTACTACAGTGCGACTGAGAGTGCTACAATGTACGTTAGAGTGCGAAAGTGTGCGTTGGAATGCTAAAATGTGTGTGAAAGTAAGAAAAAGGTGCACGAGTGTGCTAGATGTACCTACTTGAAAGTGCGACAGTGTGCTAGTGCGCCTTATGTACCTGTTAGGTTGTCGATCTAGCTCCAGCTACGATTGTTCATGAGGATTGTAGATCGTTCGAAGTGCTACAGTGTGAGTGAGAGTGCTACAATGTACGTGATAGTACTGTGTGAATGAGAGTGCTACAATGTGCATGAGAGTTCTAGAATATACTTGAGAATGCGACAGCGTGTCTTACGTACCTGTTAGGATGTCTGTCAGGCTCCGGCTGCGGTTGTTCGTGAGGGTTGAATATCCTCCCGTCGCCACACGGCGCGGTGCTCACGTACAAATGAGGCCCAAGTGTGTATTAGAGTGCTAGAAGGTGGATGAGGATGCTAAAAGGTGGATGAGTGGGCTAGAAGGTGCGTGAGCGCTAGTGTGCCACCAGGTGCCTGAGAGCTACTGTGCTAGAAGGTGCGTGAGTGTTCTAGAATGTACTTGAGAGTGCGACAGTGTGCTAGAACGTACTTGAGAGTGCGACAGTGTGCTAGAACGTACTTGAGAGTGCGACAGCGTGCTATAATGAACATGAGAGTGCGACAGTGTGCCAGAATGTACTTGAGAGTGCGACAGTGTGCTTTACGTACCTGTTAGGATGTCTGTCAGGCTCCGGCTGCGGTTGTTCATGGGGACTGAATATTCTCCCATCGCCACAGGGAGCAGTGCTCACGTACAAATGAGGCCCAAGTGTGTATTAGAGTGCTAGAAGGTGGATGAGTGTGCTAGAAGGTGGATGAGTGTGCTGGAAGGTGGATGAGTGTGCTAGAAGGTGGATGAGTGTGCTGGAAGGTGGATGAGGGTGCTAGAATGTGGATGGGTGTGTATGAAGGTGCGTGAGCGCTAGTGTGCCACCAGGTGCGTGAGTGCTACTATGCTAGAAGGTGCTTAAATGTGCTAGAATGTACTTGAGAGTGCGACAGTGTGCTAGAAAGTACTTGAGGGTACGACAGTGTGCTATAATGTACTTGAGAGTGCAACAGTGTGCTAGAACGTACTTGAGAGTGCGACAGTGTGCTAGAATGTAATTAAGAGTGCGACAGTGTTCTAGAATGTACTTGAGAGTGCAACAGTGTGCTACAGTGCGTCTTACGTACCTGTTAGGGTGTCTGTCAGGCTCCGGCTGCGGCTGCTCATGAGGACTAAATATTATCCCGTCGCCACAGGGAGCAGTGCTCACATATAAGTGGATTTGCCAGTCCGGCTACACCTGGTAGCCGCCGCCAGGGACGTACAAGTGATGACTAAGTGTGCGTTAGGGTGCTAGAAGGCGGATGAGGATGCTAAAAGGTGGATGAGTGGGCTAGAAGGTGCGTGAGCGCTAGTGTGCCACCAGGTGCCTGAGAGCTACTGTGCTAGAAGGTGCGTGAGTGTTCTAGAATGTACTTGAGAGTGCGACAGTGTGCTAGAACGTACTTGAGAGTGCGACAGTGTGNGCGACTTTGTCTGAACACGACATTGTTAGGAGGCGCTCGCCCTGGAAAAAAACAATGATGAGTCAGTGGTTTGGATATGGGAGCGGAACAGGAGAGGTGATATTAACATAATTATAAAATAATAATCCTACTAATCCTACTTCCTACTAATATTATAAATGCGAAAGTTTGTGTGGATGTTTGTTACTCTTTCACGCAAAAACTGCTGAACGGATTTGGATGTAACTTTACAGTATTATTGTTTATAACCCAGAATAACGTATAGGCTATAATTTATGACGGTCTGTGACAAACTAAGTTTCACGCGGGTGAAACCGCGGGCAAAAGCTAGTAATTAATAAAAATGCTTTATTTCCTCACCACAACAACCATTACAATATTTTTAGTAGGTACAATTTTTGCTTACAGTAAAATTAGATTATTGTGGGAGACTGATGCCTAAACTAAGCTAAAAGAAGCTTGTATTTCAGGTTCAGGTCATCAGGCCCCCTCCCTTTTGTTTGTTGAATTATGACGTGACAGAGCATATAAATCTGAAGTCTTGCTGAGGTTTTACATCACAAAAACCAACCTTAGCTAGATCTACGACTCCAAAATTCTTAAACTTTTCCTTAGCAAAAGAAAAGCGCTGTATACTTATAAAAATTAAAGAACATGAGTACAAAATAATAAACGAAGGCGGACCGACGACCCCATAAAGGTAGCAGGAAGGCGCTGGACGCAGGCCGCTACCAACCGATCTTTATGGAAATCATTGGTCGAGGCCTATGTATAGCAGTGGACGTCCTGTTGCTGAAATAATGATGATGAAAATAAATAATATACCTGCATAACCCCGTCCCAAGTCTGTACCACATTGGTGCAGTTTTTGACCGGGATAGTGCCTTCCCCGGACTCGATCTTTGTCCTCAGCTGACCTCGGGCGAGCCTGCATTGAGAAAGGTGGTATTTCAACATAACTTTATTTTGTAACAACGTTTAGAGAGCTATAGTCTGGTCGCCGAACACGTAGAATATTGTCCAATAACCCCAAGCTACCCATCCTTATCGCTTGCGCGTAATTATATTGCTGTCGCGTCTGTGCAGTTAGAGTGCGAGCGCGACAACAACATAATTACGCGCGAGCGATAAGGATGGGTAGCTTGGGGTCATTGGACGAAATTCTACGTGCTCCGCGTTAGGGCTTTAGACTATGTGTGATAGGGCTGCAGTGTATGTGAGAGTGGTACAGTGTACGTGAGAGCGCTACAATGTGCGTGAGAGTGCTACAGTGTGCAAGTGTCACGAAAGTAAGAGACAGTGCCTTATTACCTGTTAGGATGTTCGTGAGGGTTGAATATCCTTCTTAAACTACTACAGTGTCCGTGAGAGTGCTACAGACTACAGTGTACGTGAGAGTGCTACAGTGTGCGTGAGTGCTACAATGCGCATAAAATGCTAGAAGGTGAGTGATAGTGCTACAACGTGCGTGAGACTGCGTAAGGTACCTATTAGGGTGTCTGTCAGGCTCCGGCTGCGGCTGCTCATGAGGACTAAATATTATCCCGTCGCCACAGGGAGCAGTGCTCACATACAAGTGGATTTGCCGGTCCGGCTACACCTGGTAGCCGACGCCAGGGACGTACAAGTGATAACTAAGTGTGCGTTAGGGTGCTAGAAGGCGGATGAGGATGCTAAAAGGTGGATGAGTGTGCTAGAAGGTGCATGAGCGCTAGTGTGCCACCAGGTGCCTGAGAGCTACTGTGCTAGAAGGTGCGTGAGAGTACTAGAATGTACATGAGACTGCGACAGTGTGCTAGAACGTACTTGAGAGTGCGACAGTGTGCTAGAACGTACTTGAGAGTGCGACAGCGTGCTATAATTAACATGAGAGTGCGACAGCGTGCTATAATGAACATGAGAGTGCGACAGTGTGCCAGAATGTACTTGAGAGTGCGACAGTGTGTCTCACGTACCTGTTAGGGTGTCTGTCAGGCTCCGGCTGCGGTTGTTCATGGGGACTGAATATCCTCCCATCGCCACAGGGAGCGGTGCTCACATACAAATGTATCTGACGGTCCGGCTTCATCTGGTAGCCGCCGCCTGGCACCGGTTCTAGGTCAGATGAAGCGATGGTGGCCTTGGGATCTGGTGGTGAAGGGAAAACACTATAGTACACCAAACAAAAAAGAAATTGACAATAAAGACAGCACAATTTGCGCGGTCTTATCGTTAAGAAGTGATCTCTTCACGACAATCATATTATCCAAGGTGACTTCAACTAGAATCGCCATAGCAAATTCCCATGTTTCTCTACATGGGAAATTGCTATGGCGAGTCGTTTTCGTACTATTGTCCTTACTTACTTACTGCAACCTTTCGGTTTTTTACTTTTATGGTATGTTTTGTTAGCACTTTGTATAAGCTGTATGAATCCCAACTAATATTATAAATGCGAAAGTAACTCTGTCTGTCTGTCTGTCTGTCTGTCTGTCTGTCTGTCTGTCTGTCTGTCTGTTACGCTTTCCCGCTTAAACCTCGCAACCGATTTTGATGAAATTTGGCATAGAGATAGTTTGAGTCCCGGGAAAGAACATAGGATAGTTTTAATCCCGGTTTTTGAAACAGGGACGCGCGCGATAAAGTTTTTCTGTGACAGACAAAATTCCACGCGGGCGAAGCCGCGGGCGGAAAGCTAGTTCTAAATAAAAAAATGAAGGAAACGTAAACAAAACCTCCTTAGCCATTTAAAGGTATTCGCATATGGAATTAAATTGCAAATAATACTGTAAGTGTTAGCTGTTACAAATCACTCTTTAGAACACAGAAACCTATGGACCTACGCACCTTCAGCAGAAGCGTACATCAAGAGTTGCGCGTATAGATGCCGCTGCAAGCAACGCCGGGCCGTCACCTAGTGAAGAAACAGAAACAATACGTCAAATTACGCCTAAATAGGCTAGTTTCCTAAAAAAAGTCTGTCATGTTTAATATCAAAAAATATTGGACACATATATTTTTATTTGTCAATCTAACAAATAATTACATAGTTATGGTGCGTTGAAGTTCCGCACGACGTCACAACGTGCGGCACTATTATGCACGCATTGACGTCACGGGCCTCTTCTTATGAACTTTGGCGCGCTTTATCTCTTTAAATTTTCATTAGTTTGAAAAAGTGAAAAATACGTGTAGAGTATTTTTCGATAAGTTAACTGACGGACTAATTAAAACTCTTGCTTTTTGAAACATCCCTATTGCTGTTTTATTTAAAGACTTTATTGCACACACACACAAAAATGATCAGTACAAAAAGGCGAGTTTAAGGCTAAGGTCAGGTAACAGTCTCTCTCAGCTGTTCTGATTTGATGATTTTTTGACACAGACGGAAGATGGGATACCTTATGCATCATAGATAATTTTAAATCTGGTGTAAATGGGGCTAAAATCCGTCGTTTAGTCAAATTTATTCCTGAATCCGGATGGTGTGCATGAGAGTGCTAGAACATGCATGACTGTACTTAAGAGTGCGATAAAGTACGAGACTGTGCTAGAATGTGTATTCATGTTTACAATACTCAATCGTTTATTGCATAACGATTTATGTCTGTAGTTTAAACGTATTATTACATTTTCACCACATAGTATAAAACAAAGTCGCTCTCTGCTGTCTGTCCCTATTTATGCTTAGATCTTTAAAACTACGCAACGGATTTTGATACGGTTTTTTGTATTAGAGTGATTCAAGAGGAAGGTTTATATGTATACTCACTACCCGTGCAAAACCGGGGCGGGTTGCTAGTTGCACATAAAAGGTGCATAATCGTGTCCATCCTAAGTGAGATAGACTATAGTCTGGTCTGTGAGCACGTAGAATTTTGTCCAATGACCCCAAGCTACCCATCCTTATCGCTCGCGCGTAATTATGTTGCTATCGCGCTCGCACACTCACTGCGGGCGCGCGTCGCACAGTCGCGACAGCAATATAGTTACGCGCGAGCGATAAGGATGGGTAGCTTGGGGTCATTGGACGAAATTCTACGTGCTCGGCGACCGGACTAGGGCAAAGCTGTGGACAGGAGGTAGTAATAAATTAATGTACAAACCTCAGCGTGACAATCGTTGAGTACCCTCCCTCGCACAGACATATGCTCACCGGATACGCACTTGGTGCCGGTGGTCACCGCGATTACCTGCGACAAAATACACAGAAAAAAATTAAATAACTTGAAAAAATGGAATTCCGCTTGCCGGGCCACTGCTCTTCACAAGCAACATAAATAAATAATTACATTAATAAATGATTTATTGATTGATTGATAAGACACTAAAGTCTGTTCGCCGAGAGTTGATAAATATTATGAAATGTCTTGCAATAGCGACTGTCGCTTAATTATCGCATTCTGTATGGCGGGTTCTGTATGGTACGAGCCACGCAGCTGTCGTCAAGCGCCCCGGTCGGCGGGCCGCAATGTGTGAAACGGAATAGATTTATTTTACATAAGACCGAAATGAATGGTATGACAGTGGGTAGGGCTGTGCCCAACATTGGGATACACTATAAGCCACTTGATAATAATGAAATACTTTTTATCCAACACATGGACGCCACGTGTTTGATCCGTATCCCCACGTATGCCCTAACCGGAATAATTCCCGTAAATTTAAAAGAGATAATAATGATAATCTACCAACTTTTTCATTATATCGACAAAAATAATAATTAGCAGGCCGCAATTTATAATGAGTTTAGAACCTCTGATATTTAATTTTTTTTATCGACTCTCGGCGAACAGACTTTACACCCGTCGAAAATTTCAAGCGTAATAAATACTGCTGAACATAGGCCTCCCCCAATGATTTCCACATCGCCGGGTTGGCAGCGGCCTGCATCCACCGCCTTCCTGATACCTTTATGAGGTCGTCGGCCTACACGTTTAACAAAATTAAATTACGAAATCTAATTGGAAAACCACAAGACTTTTGTAAAATTTATTTAATTTGTGTATTTAATGCATTATAAACTTGTTTTTGTGCTATCAATGTGTATTATTTAGGCCCGATTCGACCAATCTTTTATCCGAGAATAACTGCTGGTAACTGGCACATTGACAGTTTCAATATGGGAAATATGTCAGAATGACAAGTTTATCCTTCAGTTAAAAGTTAAAGAACGATGGTAAAATCAGCCCTTAGGTCCAGTTTTTTGATTCATGGTTAAAATAAGTAATTGTTAAATTTTGCTACTAATGGTTAAATATTAACAAAATGTAAACTAATAGTTAAAAATGTACTAAAAGTCAAGCAAACCATTGTTCGAAAAACATTTTTTTCTGATAATTAACCACTTGTCATTTGACATATGTCAAATTTGACTATAGACGACCCACGCTGAACTGTCCCAAAAAACTCAATGACAGGGGGGCGCTACCATCGTTCAACTATATGGTTTCCAACATGGCAAAAATCTGAACCAGCGATCCGGTATTGACGGTGGCGCCCCGCTGTCAATGTCATGAATAGGACAGTTCAGTATTTTGGAATTATATTGGTTATTTTAACTACGAATCAAAAAACTGGGCATATTGGAGTAGTTGGTAAGTAGGTACATAAATGTCTCTCACCCTGGCATCCTCAGTCCTGTTGTTGATGGTGATGACGATACCAGCAAGCACCTTTCTCTTGGAGTGGACCAGATCACCCTTCATCACCTCATTGAATTTCTCGTTCACCAGTCTGGGGGAAATGATGATGATTAGGTTAATATGATATTAAGTAACACCTTATTAATATGGGTTTTATGCCCGATTTCACCATCAATTCTTAATTTTTAGGTGACCACTTATGTAAACAAAATTACTGTTATTTGTTACCACTTAAAAATTTGATGTTGTTGGTGAAAACGGGCAATAATCAAACGAAAAAGAAACCCTATGGTAACACATAATAAGAATTTTCTTTACATAGGGGTCACTTAAAAATTAGGGATTGATGGTGAAAACGGGCATTAGAGTATTGTAAAAACTAGTGGCGCTAAGTAACCTAACATTGGCGCCATATGGTAACAGGACTTCAATCACTATTGGCGCCAACTCACGATGAATAGTGGCGCCAACTGGCGACCAACAGTGGCACCAACTAGCGATAAATAGTGGCGCCAAATAGCGATAAATAGTGGCGCCAACTGACAATCAATAGATGCACCAACTGTCAATCAATAGTGGCACCAAATGGCTATGAATAGTGGCGCCAACTAGCTAGCAATAGTGGCGCCAACTAGCGATCAAGCGGCGCCAACTCGCAACCAACAGAGGCACCAAATGGCGATCGACGGTGGCGCTAATTGGCGATCAATAGTGGCGCCAACTGGCTACGTATAATGGCGCCAACTGACGATCAACGGTGGCGTCAACTGGCTACGAATAATGGCGCTAATTGGCGATCAATTGAGGCGCCAACTGACAATCAATAGAGGCGCCAACTGACGACACCCTGTATATGACTTACTTCCCCACGTGGTCGGCCAGGGTCTGCGGCAGGAAGCCAGCCATGGCTGAGGGCGGCGGAGACTCCACGCGGCCCTCGTCTAAGACAGCTAATGCTGAACGAGCCGCTGCCAGCTTGGCTAGTTTTTTGCTGGACCCTATAACAAATTTATTGGTTGTTATTTAGTAGGTATTTATGCTCTTTTTCGACAAAAATTTAAAGTTCGATGTGCACAATAAATTACTTTATTACAAACACGATTGATTTTACTTCTTTAAGGCCTGATTTTTCAATCGTCAGACAACTATTAACTAAAGAATAAACTTGCCATTTTGACATATTTTCCATACTGAAACTGTCAATGTGCCAAACTTATTCTTCACTTCAGATAAAAAGTTATCTGACGATTTAAAAATCAGCCCTTAAATAAGTAATTAACAAAGATACAAAAAAAACGACTAATTGAGAGTTCCGTACAAACTTGACATAATTATTTTGCTAAAATTAAGATTTTCGAGCAAATAAACTGGCAAGCAATCTTTTATTCCATGGGAACCCCACTTACATATTTACTTTATTCAAATTTTTAACAGACTTCAATAAAGAAGGAGGAGAGCATTTAAGAAAAATATTTTGTCGATTTTGCTCGATAAGCACATACATTTGTCGTCTAAAATGGTCGATAAAATAAGAAGTCGATTTTATTACGGCGTACATCCTAGCCTGGCTGGTGACAAACAAATAAGTCTTGAGGTAGTAAGTCGGTTAAAAATCAATATACTCACCATATCCTTCAAACTTCTGGTCTTTCACGCAACAAACCACTTTGAACCTCATACTATGGCTCAACTGGAGTGGAGCTGGAAGAAACAAGTATAGTTAATTAAATATGCATTTATTTTTAAAACATAGACCCCTCGCCCACGGCGACTTTTTGTAGCGATGCAATAGCGATTCTGCTGCGTGTTCGTATCGATACAGTCGCAATGCGGCCGCTAGTTGTGTGCCCTCGCCCACATAAACACGATTCAGTCGTGATTAGAGATGGGTTATACTAGGTAAATTTGATACTAGGTGCACCTATTCCTAGTATTTATTAATACTCGATCCAAATACCTATTCCACCTAGTACGTAGTAATTTAGCATACTTGACGCGACTAGTGCGGACTAATCCACGTAATATGACTTTAAAATACAATTTTCTTTGAAAAGATACAACCGTAGTATGAATAATGCAATTTGAAATTGAATAATAATATAATTCCTCTCTTCATACTTCAACAGGCTTTGGACTGCCAACTTAAAAGTTGGCGTATTTAAAAGATATCAATTTCATAAAAATATTTACATATTTTTTTTCTTTTTTACATGAATATGGTTTGACTACGTTTGTGTGCGTTTGCTTCGTCGCGCTCAAATTTGTTTGGTCAGACAGAGACGGAGTGAATCTCTACGTTCGCACATAAGCTTAGCGAGAAATACTCGGTGCGCGTAATACACGACTACGGATTACGCAATAATAACCTCTATTACTTTGGTGGTAGGGTCGGAAATCGTGTAATTTATAAAATACTAGGTGGATCAAGTATTTAAAAAATTGGAATAGGTGCTGCCTAGTACTGTAAAATACCTAGTGTGTGGATCTGTTCTAGTAAATACGTCTCATCTCTAGTCGTGATGCAAATGCGATACTGTCGCGCTTCTGTCGCGATGCAAACGCGATTCAATTACCTACGATCGCACCAGTTGCCGCGCCACCCTCCCTCCGTTGTCTTTCCGATGTCGTCCGACACGATCGCGCGTTTACATCGAAAAAGTAGCGATGCTGTACCGCGTTTACATCGAAAAAGTAGCGATGCTGTACCGCGTTTACATCGAAAAAGTAGCGATGCTGTACCGCGTTTACATCGAAAAAGTAGCGATGCTGTACCGCGTTTACATCGAAAAAATAGCGATGCTGTACCGCGTTTACATCGAAAAAGTAGCGATGCTGTACCGCGTTTACATCGAAAAAGTAGCGATGCTGTACCGCGTTTACATCGAAAAAGTAGCGATGCTGTACCGCGTTTACATCGAAAAAGTAGCGATGCTGTAGCGCGTTATTTGCGTGATGCTGTCGCACCATTAAAAAAAAGTCACCGTGAGTGAGGGACCATACTCGAACAGTTAAGTTTTATCATTGATATGAAAGTGCGCACATTACACAGATTTCGTATCGGCCGATTCCTCATACAAAATCGACCCAACTATTCACACAGAATGTTGATGGGAGTTGGTAAAACAAGTTTTGGCGGTCAAGCTGGAGAATCTACAGTGTAGATCCAGGCTACACGGAGTTGCAGCGATGGGAACGAGAGGTGGGAATAGTCCCGTTTACACAGGAGTCTGACGACGTCATAAAGGTAGCAGGAAGGCGCTGGACGCAGGCCGCTGCCAACCGATCAACCTGGAAATCATTGGGGGAGGCCTATGTTCAGCAGTGGACGTCCTATGGCTGAAATGATGATGATGATGACACAGGACTTGCAGCGGTGGGAATAGTCCATAGCATACCTTGGCTGGAATCCAGCTGCGATCCGTCCCCAAAAGTGCACATGAAGTTGAGTCCCGGATAGTTCTCATACAAAACGTTGATGGGACTCTTGTTGATGGCCGCGTTGTACTGTTTATAAAGGAGTTGCAGCGGTGGGTGGGAATAATCCCACTTACACAAAAGTGGCAGAGGTGGGAATAGTCCAGTTTAAACAGGGAGTTGCAGAGGTGGGAATAGTCCCCTTACCTTGGCTGGAGTCCAGCTGCGATCCGTCCCCAAAAGTGCACACGAAGTTGAGTCCAGGATAGTTCTCGTACAGAACGTTGATGGGACTCTTGTTGACGGCCGCGTTGTTGGTCGCGCCGAATAGCGCCGTCGCCGGGCAAGAAGTGGGGGGCGGGGTGCCTTCTGGAAGAGAAAAGAACGAAAAATTAATATTGAGGCTAGTGACCGACCGAATATTCGTTTTTTTGCGGCCATTTTCGGCCAAAAAATGGACATTCGGCTATATTTTCGTTTTCGGCCAAAAACCGAATAAATACGTGAATAAGATACGTATATTGGATATCTTTGGAGTTAATGGGGTGCACTCATAGTTCCAATCAGACTTGAACGGATGCGGTAATGTCACACTGTTTTGAAGTTGTGAAGTGAGGTTACGTTGTAAAGAGTGTCCAGCGGAATTTTTTTAAGTTTAAAATTGAATACAAGGCCAAAGAGTTTTCATTAAATTCAGGCAAGAATTCGCAAGATTGGAAGTTTTTACATTTCTCATTTGTTTACAAGACTACTTAACCATTTTGAAAGTAAAAGCATCGAAAATTATGGATATTTAATCGGAAACAGATTGCAATTTGACAGTTGAAGGTCATTTTCGGTTACGTTTTCGGTGAAAATGGGACTGCAGCCGAAGCTTCGTTTTCGTTTTCGGCTGAAAATCCATATTCGGTCGGACACTAATTAAGGCGACTGGAGTAAAACCGGACGTTGGCGACGGGACGTCCACCCACAAAGTGGACCGACGACATCATAAAGGTAGCAGGAAGGCGTTGGACGCAGGCCGCTACCAACCGGGCAGCATGGAAAGCATTGGGGGAGGCCTATGTTCAGTGGACGTCCTATGGCTGAGATGATGATGATGACTGGAGTAAAACCGCAAAAGACCGAGGCAAATGACGACACACACTTTATTTATTTACTAGCGACCCGCCCCGGCTTCGCACGGGTGCTACTAAGTATACATCCTTCGTCTTGTATCACACTATCTATTTAAAAAACGCGTATCAAAATCCGTTACGAAGTTTTATAAATCTAAGCATACATAGGGACAGACACTTGAAATTTGGCAAGTAGGTTCCAAGGTTTAGAGTGTAGACATCCAATAAGAACGGATTTAACAAAACTCCACCCCTAAGGGGTAAAACGGAGAACACGCGTACGAAGTCGTGGGCGGCCGCTAGTCAACCATAAAAGTGCAATTTTTCGATAAAAAAAATCGCGAATTATGTAGGTATTGCTATTTTGCGGTTTTCAAAAGTAAAAATACCCTACTTCTGTACATTTTTTTTACCTTAAAACCCTGTATAAAGGTCGAAAATCATAATAAAGGCTAAACAATTCACTTACCGGGACTCGTATCCGTAGACTTCACGGTCGCGACCGTCGGCGGCTGCTTCATCTTCACCTCCAGGCATTGGAAGTCCGACACTGTTGGATAACAAATAGGATTCATTATTCATAATGAAATTCATTGATCGTTCTTTAAGTTATTGAAGTGATAGACTAACAAACATGAAAAAAAATAACATGATTATTGAATTTTAATCGGCATATTAATTCAAAGTCACCATAATTTAGATAGAAATCGCACTTAGCCACTTTAGCTTACTAGAGGCAAATGGAGGATTTGACCAACACTCTCCATGTTTGGGTTATACCGTCTGCTTTTGACAAAGGGAATCCCTGGCACCTTTATGCATCCTATCCGTAATCCACTGAAGCTACTGGGTAACCAGAAGCTTGAGCGTTTTTAACCAAGCTTTATGAGTGGTTTTTTAGCCCTAGTGTCCTCAGAGCTGCCGCTCTTCGCTGGTAGTTCTGTAACTGGGGAGTCCCTGCTAACTAGAAACTGAAAGGCATGCTCGGCAAAGCATACACAGTTTTCCACCGCTGCAACTCCTGTGTAGCCAAGATCTGCTGCAACTCCTGTGTAAGATCTATCTTCATCCCTCTTCTCTCACTTACCTGGTGCCCTGCTGGACACGTCCCTGGTAATTTTGCAACTGGGGAGCTTTGGCATGCTCGCATATTTTTGAGCACCTTCCCACCGTTGCAACTCTTGTGTAGCGAAGACCTATGTTCATCTCTCTTCTCTCTCGCTCGTCGCTGGTGAGGTCCTGCTGCTTTGGTAGATCTAGCCTTTTCGCTATGACGCTGGTCTCCGTCTTTGCTCCCCTTTGGTGCAAGAAGGATCCTATTAAGCTCGTTCCCTAGTCTCTCTCACCTGGCATCCTCCCGGGCTCGTCGCTAGTGAAGTCCTGCTGCGGGCCGGCGCCCGGTGCCGGCAGCACGCGGCCGGCGCGCGCCAGCAGGGCGGACAAGCAGGCGCGGGCCGCCGACGCGCGCGCCGAGCGCTTGCTGTGACCCCAGCCTTCGAAGCATGCTCTCCACTGCAGGAGTTCCCTCTAACTTACTAGAGGCAAATGGAGGCTTTGGCTTCCACTCCTCACGCTGGCACTCTTATCAATGAGCAGGCTATGCGTAGCGTGCACTCTTACTATGAAGCCAGGATCTACAGCTTGACCTTAAGTCAACCAGTGAGTCAAGTTTGCCCCAGGAATAGCAGCTGTCATTGGACCCACAACGAAATTAGACACTTATAGGAGTTGTCATTACTTCTAGCTACTCTTGCTTGTGTAGCTAGGATCTACAGCTTGACTGTCAATAACATCCTAACCAGTGAAGGCACAAGTTTGTCCCAGGATCCAAAGTCGCTTGAAGACACTAAAGTTTCTTCTTGCACCTAGCACCTAGCTAGGCTCGTCCCTGGTAATTCTAGAACTGGGGAGTCCCTAGCTAGAAACTGAAAGGCAAGCTCGCATATACTTACACGACTCTCAATCGCTGCAACTCCTGTCTAGCCTAGATCTATCTTTCTCCCTCTTCTCTCACTTACCTGGTGCCCTGCTGGGCTCGTCCCTGGTAATTTTGCAACTGGGGAGCTTTGGCATGCTCGCATATTCTTGAGAACCTTCCCACTGCTGCAACTGCTGTGTAGCCAAGACTGCTGCAACTCCTGTGTAGCTAGGATCTGCTGCAACTCCTGTGTAGCCAAGACTGCTGCGACTCCTGTATAGCTAGGATCTGATGCAACTCCTGTCTTTCCTCCTCATCTCTCTTCTCTCTCACCTGGCATCCTCCCGGGCTCGTCGCTGGTGAAGTCCTGCTGCTTTGGTGGAAATAACCTGCCCGCCTATGTTCAGCAGTGGACGACCTGTGTCTGAAATGATGATGATGAACTTGCCCGCTATGTAGCTCGTCTCCGCACGTTTCGCCTCGACTCGCTATGATGTAAGAAGGATCCTATAGAACTGTCCCTCTTCTCTCCCACCTGGCATCCTCCCGGGCTCGTCGCTGGTGAAGTCCTGCTGCGGGCCGGCAGCACGCGGCCGGCGCGCGCCAGCAGGGCGGACAAGCAGGCGCGGGCCGCCGACGCGCGCGCCTCGCGTTTGCTGTGACCCCACCTCACCACCCAGCCTTCGGAGCATGCTCTCCGCTGCAGGAGTTCCCTCTAACTTACTAGAGGCAACTTTATGCAACCCCATAATCCACTCAAGCTACTGGGTATCCAGAAGCTTGACCGTCTTTAACCTAAGGCCCAAGTTTGTTGAGTGGTTTTTTAGCGCAAGCAATTTTGAACCCTGAGGGTTCAAAATTGCTTGAAGGCACCTAGATTTCCTAGTGTTCTCTGAGTTGGCACTCTTCGCTGGTAGTTCTGTAGCTGGGGTGCTCCTGCTAGCTAGAAAGCATGCTCGCATATTCTTGTAAAGCTTTCCATCGCTGCAACTCCTGTGTAGCCAAGACTGCTGCAATTCCTATGTAGCTAGAATCTGCTGCAACTCCTGTGTAGCCAGGATCTGCTGCAACACCTGTGTAGCCAAGATTTGCTGCGACTCCTTTGTAGCCAAGATCTGCTGCAACTCCTGTGTAGCCAGGATCTACCTTCATCCCTCTTCTCTCTCACCTGGCATCCTCCCGGGCTCGTCGCTGGTGAAGTCCTGCTTCTTTGGTGGAATAACCTGCTCGCTATGACGCTGGTCTCCGTCTTTGCTCCCCTTTGATGCAAGAAGGATCTAACAAAGCACTGTTCCCTAGTATGCCCTCATCTGACACCTGGCTAGGCTCGTCCCTGGTAACTCTGGAGCTGGAACCCTGCAACTCCTGTGTAGCCAAGATCTGCTGCAACTCCTGTGTAGCTAGGATCTGCTGCAACTCCTGTGTAGCTAGGATCTGTTGCACTCCTGTGTAGCCAAGACTGCTGCAACTCCTGTGTAGCCAAGACTGCTGCAACTCCTGTGTAGCCAGGATCTACCTTCATCCCTCTTGGGTGGTCCTCTCCCTCAGGTGAGAGACCTGGCATCCTCCCGGGCTCGTCGCTGGTGAAGTCCTGCTGCTTTGGTGGAAATAATCTGCCCGCCTATGTTCAGCAGTGGACGACCTGTGTCTGAAATGATGATGATGAACTTGCCCGCTATGTAGCTCGTCTCCGCACGTTTCGCCTCGACTCGCTATGATGTAAGAAGGATCCTATAGAACTGTCCCTCTTCTCTCCCACCTGGCATCCTCCNAACATAATTACGCGCGAGCGATAAGGATGGGTAGCTTGGGGTCATTGGACGAAATTCTACGTGCTCCGCGTTAGGGCTTTAGACTATGTGTGATAGGGCTGCAGTGTATGTGAGAGTGGTACAGTGTACGTGAGAGCGCTACAATGTGCGTGAGAGTGCTACAGTGTGCAAGTGTCACGAAAGTAAGAGACAGTGCCTTATTACCTGTTAGGATGTTCGTGAGGGTTGAATATCCTTCTTAAACTACTACAGTGTCCGTGAGAGTGCTACAGACTACAGTGTACGTGAGAGTGCTACAGTGTGCGTGAGTGCTACAATGCGCATAAAATGCTAGAAGGTGAGTGATAGTGCTACAACGTGCGTGAGACTGCGTAAGGTACCTATTAGGGTGTCTGTCAGGCTCCGGCTGCGGCTGCTCATGAGGACTAAATATTATCCCGTCGCCACAGGGAGCAGTGCTCACATACAAGTGGATTTGCCGGTCCGGCTACACCTGGTAGCCGACGCCAGGGACGTACAAGTGATAACTAAGTGTGCGTTAGGGTGCTAGAAGGCGGATGAGGATGCTAAAAGGTGGATGAGTGTGCTAGAAGGTGCATGAGCGCTAGTGTGCCACCAGGTGCCTGAGAGCTACTGTGCTAGAAGGTGCGTGAGAGTACTAGAATGTACATGAGACTGCGACAGTGTGCTAGAACGTACTTGAGAGTGCGACAGTGTGCTAGAACGTACTTGAGAGTGCGACAGCGTGCTATAATTAACATGAGAGTGCGACAGCGTGCTATAATGAACATGAGAGTGCGACAGTGTGCCAGAATGTACTTGAGAGTGCGACAGTGTGTCTCACGTACCTGTTAGGGTGTCTGTCAGGCTCCGGCTGCGGTTGTTCANCTCACTTATCTGGTGCCTAGCTAAGCTTGTCGCTAGTAAAGTCTTGCGACCCTGGTGGAACAAAATGCCTGCTAAGCTGCTGTCTCGCCTCATCTCCTCTCTGGTGGAAGACACTTCTAAAGAACTGTCCCTCTTCTCTCTCACCTGGCATCCTCCCGGGCTCGTCGCTGGTGAAGTCCTGCTGCGGGCCGGCGCCCGGTGCCGGGAGCACGCGGCCGGCGCGCGCCAGCAGGGCGGACAAGCAGGCGCGGGCCGCCGACGCGCGCGCCGAGCGCTTGCTGTGACCCCAGCCTTCGGAGCATGCTCTCCACTGCAGGAGTTCCCTCTAACTGGCTAGAGGCAAATGGAGGCTTTGGCTTACACTCATACCACCAAAAGCTGGCTATGCGTAGCGTGCAACTAACTTACTATGAAGCCAGGAACTACAGCTTGACCTTCTCCTAAGTGACAAGCAGGCGCGGGCCGCCGACGCGCGCGCCGAGCGCTTGCTGTGACCCCAGCCTTCGGAGCATGCTCTCCACTGCAGGAGTTCCCTCTAACTTGCTAGAGGCAAATGGAGGATTTGGCTTCCACTCCTCACGCTAGCACTTTATCAATGAGCAGGCTACGCGTAGCGTGCACTCTTACTATGTAGCAAGGATCTACAGCTTGACCTTCAGTCAACCAGTGAGTCAAGTTTGCCCCAGGAATAGCAGCTGTCATTGGATACACAACGAAATTAGACACTTATAGGAATTCCCACCGTTGCAACTCCTGTGCAGCAAGCATCTACAGCTTGACTGTCAATAAGACATCAACCAGTGTAGACCCAAGTTTGTCCCAGGGTTCAAAGTCGCAAGAAAGCACCTAGATTTCATAGTATTTTCTGAGCTAGCACCTTGTATAGGCTCGTCGCTGGTCATATCCTTGTCGCTATGACGCTGACCTCCATCTT